TTCAAGACTAAAGGGCAGCTGCACCTGGCGTGTGAATGCATTTCAGTAACAGCAATAACACCGGGACTTCAAAACGATTGTTGGGGTTGTTTGGCAATTCAAATAATTTTCCTGTATTTTGTACTGCGGAAGATTCAAAAGAATAATTGCAGGTAGCTTTGAAGATGATAAAGAAAGAAATGATAAAAGATGAGAAAGACGCGGAACGAACTATTAGAGAAATTACGATGATGACGGAATTGAATCATCCCAATATTGTACAAATTTATGAGGGTTTACTTATTTCCATTGATTAAAGCATATTAATTTTTTCTTATCTGGTGTAAATGGCCTTTGAAAATTTTTCAGCATTTGAAATACCGAATAAAGTAGTCCTTGTGATGGAATACCTAAGTGGTGGCGATCTATTTGATTATGTGTGCAACAGTGAATTTCTTCTGGACTCGGAGGCTTGCAGAATTTTCAGACAAATCGTTTCTGCCGTTTCGTATCTTCACGAGGTCTTTCTTTTGCAGCTTAAATTCGCTAGGTATTCTACTCAGTCAAACAACTCAATCCTTAAAAACACCGACTCAGAGAGCTTCATACTCAAATTTAACATGTGAATAGTTTTCGCACAGGCAGTGTAAATGACAGATATGACTACCTCGATGAGAAAAGTGATTGTGCAATATGATTTTTAGAGAGGGATTGTACGACTATTGCATAATGCAAATTTCATAACGCTACCCTTTTTCTCGAATTTGAATTGGAGAAAGCCGCATATATCTTTTAGTTTTGTGCGCCATTATTTGAGTAGTGGAAACATGGTTACCGGCAAAAGCGAACAGTAACTGTGACCACTTTGCTGATAACTGATCTCAGAGAATGTTATTAAAGAAAAAGAAAATACCAATTGACAGTGGTTTGGAGACGGAAGTTAGGGATCAAGATTAAAAGATCTGGCCTAGCAACGCCTGGTGCAACGACTAACACTGAAGCTCCACCAACCTTCCCGTCTGGTTGCTTTGCTAGGAGTCATTTTCAGACTTGTTTTGTAACATTGAGCATAAGATTGCTACCTCACTGCACTCAATTTATTGAATTACAGAACAGTGTGGCACACAGAGATCTTAAGTTGGAAAATGTTCTTTTGGATGCGAACAAGAATGCAAAAATTACCGACTTCGGCTTTTCCAATTATTTCTCCAGTATGTCCAAACTGAACACCTTTTGCGGCAGCCGTCTTTATGCTGCTCCAGAAATTATTTGGGGAATTCCGTACAAGGGTCCAGAGGTAGAAGTCTTATTTATAACAGATAATTAGAAAGTCCTGTTTTTTCCATAAATTTTTGTGGAATGAAATCCTCGGTTCGCAAAAATTCGCAAAATTTGTTTTACAGGTTGACTGCTGGAGTCTCGGTGTTCTACTTTATGTGCTTGTTTACGGCAAAATGCCATTTGACAGCAGTGATAACAATGCAGTGATCAGAAGTATCTCATGCGCTTCGTATTCCGAACCTGACTTTCGCTCAAGTATAATTTATGCTAATTCCAGAAATATATCATAATCACATTGACTAAATAGCTCACAATGTATAACGTTAGAAGCTCTCGTAAAAGTTAAACCTGCCCCTTATTCGGTCTCCACGAAAAGCGGAAGCACTCAGGAGTAGAACAAATGATAGCAGATGCCGGCAAGCAATCATTCGCTGGCGTGGTTGTCAGCCAATTCCTCTTTCGAAAGTTGATTACAAGTAAACTAACGACAAGACTGACTCCGCGACAAATGTCAGCACCAATCTACCATCGAAACATGGAGTGGTTAATTATCCCACTGGCTGAAGTCAACCAATCGACTTTGTGCAAGACAATACAGCACAACTTCTCGATGCTCAACAGCTACACAATAAATGGTAAAAAATTGCTGCAGCATAAACACAAATTAGGAGGAGCATGCACAGCATGTCGGCGTGATTAAATATTTTGCATCAGTGAGTATGCGAATATCACCATCACAGGCATAAAATGGCTATACTTCTCTATGATAATCTTTTGAATCCAATTAGCTTATCAGGACTCTATTTCTTCTGAAGATAAAAATCACTGTTTATTGAGATCATA